CTCTCCGGTTTCCTCCCGCATGCAAACACTCACTAATAGTCTGCAAAACACCTCGATATATGCAGGACCGCAGAGCTTTGGTCATTGTTGGCACCGGCTCACCAAGTGGCTTGCCTTCCCGCTTTGATGGCGGAAGCACCCTCCAATAGTGGGAGATCAAGAGAGACCCTTTAGAAGGCGTCTGTCCGAAATCTTCCAAGCTGGCCAGGCGTCTTGGGAGAAGCGGAAGTTCCCACACTTCACCCCACCACACACGACCTGCCAGTCGACCGTGATGTCCTACACTGCTGGGTTGGGAAAGGTCGGGCTGGGGGTGAATTGTGAATTTGAGAAACATCATAATTTTTCAACAGCCACGATGGGAGATTAATCCAACGACCTCTGGATTTGCAAGTCTGGTGTTGTAACCATTCCTCCCCAGCAGCATCCCTACGTGCAACGCAGGCAGCCTGTAAAACCAAATCTACAATGAAAAGCAAAACACGATGAATATCTAATGTTAAAAATATTCAAACATGCGCTTGACGGAGGAATTCCTGGAGCTGGTGGTTGCGACTGTTTATCGTCGCGAGGCCCCAGAATTCCACGTATTGAGTTTAGCCTTTCAGAACTAGTTTCAGGAATGTGGCTGTTATATAAAAACGTAAATCGTGTTTACTAAGGTTCATACTCTTAGGTTTTTTGGGTAAAGTCACGTAGGTAAAAAAAAATATTTGTTATTTATTATTTCTATTATTTTTATTATTTATTTTTCTTTTGTACCTACGTGACTTTACCGAATAAACCTAAGAGTATGAATCCTTGCAGTCACGAAAGCTTCAAATCTACTAAGGTTCAGTTAATTTGAGCTTCCATGAAGTCAATAAGTCTTTGCCTCACCACAGTGTCATCCTCCAGTGCCGTTTGCAGAGGCAGGCCCTGTACTTTGAGGGCGACAGCTCTTGCAGGGGTTATACATTCTGCACCTTTTCGATTTAAAGCTTTCGTGACTGCAGGGATTCATCTTCTTGGTTCTTTCGGTAAAGTCACGTAGAAGGGAAATAATAAAATAATAAAAATAAAACATAATACAATAATTCTCACGACGTTTCGGCCACAACGCAAGCAGCAACGCAAGCAGCCGTCCTCAGGTGAAGAACAGGATCTGTTCTTCACCTGAGGACGGCTGCTTGCGTTGTGGCCGAAACGTCGTGAGAATTATTTTATTATGTTTTATTTTTATTAACTTATAATTTCTCTTCTACGTGACTTTACCGAAAGAACCAAGAAGATTCTGCACTTTTTTAATTCCTATATCCTAAAATGAGACCGAAATTTTGTTGTTGTTGTTGTTGTTCATGCTCTAGTGGGTCGTATGTCGGTTTGTTTGTTTTTTCAACTGGGACAGGACATTCTGGAGACAATGTCACACGGCTCGTCGGACCCAGTGCTCGTGCTTGAGGTCACAGCTTTCGCCCATTGCCTTCGTCCCTTCTGCCCTCCCTTCACCCGCCCTTTGCCGTGCTCCCAATCTGTCCCTTTACCTGCCCCTATGTCTGCGGGTTTACTTCATTATTTTTTTGGAGTGCAGTCGACTTCAGAGCAGAACGCTGTGATGAGGTGGTTTCAGGTCCTGTCATAGCGGCATTGGAAGTCTGGAGTACCTGGCCATAACCTTTTTTTCTCCCTTTGGAGATAAAGAAATGAAGGAGGCGCAGATGAGAGGATTTCAAACTGGGACCTCAGCTGTTCCAACTTGTAGATAATAAGTGCTTCTTTCATTGAGATTGTTTCGGAGAAACCCAGCAACCTTTCCTGTGCATGTCTCCACTCACAGCGGCGGGACTATCGTGCCACGCGCAATCGTGTTTTACGCCGAATCCAATTTCACTGCCTTTCTGCAAGGGTAGGAGCAGGTGTGCCGATGGCGCATTACTCTAAAATAGTTGATGAGCGTGAAGTTTCCGCATTGATTGCGCGCACAGTTTCTGAAGAATAACAACAAAAAACCGAGTCAATCATGTGTGCCAATTTGCATGCAATTTCAATTCTACGGAACATATTACACCCTGTGTTGTTTTGCGAAGCCTCAAAGCAGTTGACTTTGTTTGGCACGGAGTGATGCAAGCGATACTTTTTGTTTTATGTTTCATACGCGATGCCTGTGATCTTCCAGAATGGATCATGCAGGCTATGAGAGATTTCGTTACTTGATGCACCAAAGAATGCCAGACACGGAAAAGAATACTTTTTTTTGTCTGTCCTTGGAACAAAATAGTTTTTGTTGGAGTGTGGGTTTTTCATGAAAATAAATACATGTGTAGAATCCACAGACAAAGGTATGATTTGCATGCATGTTTACCTATCTGTATTTTATCTGATCACGTTTATATGGAAAAACAACCACATCTGGCATACGTGCTTACTTTATATGTATTATTTGTTTTTGTCCATTTACTTTTAAACATTACGCTCACCTAATGTGTACAAGATATAACGTAATTACAAGTCACAGCATGCTGACGTTGATCCTACACCGCAGAGCATAGCAATCTTCCGCAGTAGTTACCGCATACATAATCTTTTGGCACTATACACGATGGTTTTGATTTGACGGTTAAAGGGCTCGTTCATTTGTTCTAAAAATGGAGCTTTTGCAGGATAGAAGCTTTTATTTGCGACAAAGGCGCTTGGCAGGTGTGAAAAATCACCAGTATTTGCTGGAAATTACCCAGGAATGATGGATGGCCACCAATTATGGTGATGAAAGGCCAGGGGCTTGTACTTTGCCAGCGACTGCATTCAATTACGTTTAACAAGGGCGAGGGCCCCAATCGCTGCACTCCAGAGTGTGGGAGTAAATTGTGCTTTTGCTGCTGTGGCTTTCTGGCACTTTCCTACAAATCGCACCCCCCCCCCTCCATTATCATTTTCAGAGTCGCCCAATTTTTTTTTGCAGACAAGCACTTTGCAACTTCCAAATGTTTTTGAAACCATTGTCAGGGGGTGCGCATCCCCCATTGCGAGGTGCTTCAAGGATGTAGTCTGGCGCACATAATTGGCTGCTCCTCCCGCCTGCTGGATGTTGACAATGCCTCAAAATAGGCCATGTGCAACACAAAGCGGGTTCTTATAAAATAACAGCACCACCGATCATGTAAAATTGATGGGGGACATGGGGGGGGGGGGGAGGGGTGGTGGGAGATTTGATTCTTTTCGACCGATTTTTGAACACGGAATCTCAATCATGCCCCAGAAAATAAATCATGTAAATCTAATTTTAAAAAATGAAAATAAAAAAAGAAATTATCGTAAAAAATTGTTAAAACTGTATTATTCTAGCTCACTAAAAAACCATAGATGTCTAATTGTATTGTTCTGCCAAGGTGATGTTGTTATTGGCTGAGTAAAGCCTGGCAAAATTACAGAGGCCATTGGATACCGCGGTGAATGGGTTACAAAGGCCCATAAAGTCAGTGGGGTAGGTCTTGTCTTTTTGTAAGTTGGAAACCTACCCCTAATTCACGGCTTTATGAAGCCGTTTCTCATTGCATTTACAATCTAACTGCTGCCACTTTTATAGTGAAACCAAATGGCAATAAATTTCTATTTAAGACGCATGTCCCAGTCACAGGGGGACTGCACGAGGTGTAATTGCAGCCCATGATTGGGCACAACTCGTTGCTGACTACTAAATTATTCTTCTGATATTGGAACATCGACAACAACATTTCAGTGAAAAACTAACTTTCCAAACAAATAAATGTTCACCACATTCCTCATTTAATTGGGCTAAACATCTGCTTTGCATTGATGAAAGTGTACCTCTCTTCATCTATAATGAACACGGCATTAGATTAATTGCATTAAAGGCCGATAAGGTGGCATATTTTATGCTGCGCGTCGAGGAGTTTCTCGGCAGCGTTCGCTGCTCCGATCTATTTTGCAGCGGATGAAATCGGAGGCTTCTCGCGTCGCTGTTTCTTCACTGACGGCATCGCCGCGAGATTCTGCGATGGTAGCCATTGCTAAACCTAATTTTCCATCGTGTGAGTTTGTAGTAAAAATCGTAATGGCTTTATACATTTTATTGCCGCTTGCTTAATGGAAATGCTTCCAGAGTCCACGGTGAATATTTAACTGTAAATGTTTCCTCCAAATTATCCAACTAATTTTTCTGCGGCGATAATTTTACCCAGTTGTGCTCTTGCATGTAATATTTTGACATCAAATTGAATTAGTCTTGCCCCATTACTGTGTCTACCTCCAAATGGCTTTAATTATATGCAATTATTATGGGGTGCACATCAAAAGCAGAGCAATTAGGAAATGCATTTGCATTTTAAGCAGCATACTTTGCTTTTACTGTCAGGGGGCTTAATGCAAGATGTTACATTATAAACTGCTAATGGATCTTTTGGCCTTTATTAAGGAGTAAGCAGCTTTACAATTTTGCAGCTATATTTTAAAACAAATAAGTAATTATGACCAATTTTCTAGATGTTCAGAAGCATTAATTTGGCGTTATTATTATTATTGGTCGGGGTATGGTAGCTTCGGCCGAAATAATTTAAAGACAAAACCCATTGGTTTAGAGTTCAACTCGTTTAATCAGAGCAATGCCAATTATTTACCAGAAAATGCCTCTGTTGAGTCTCAAGTCTCTTTGTCACGTGAGTCCTACATTGTGAAATGTTGCTCAGTACCATTGACGAATATTCGGCCTCATGTGGGAGAAAACTGGAGAACCCAGAGAAAAGCCACAAATACTGCTATCTCCTAGCCACGTCAGAGCCCCGTGGCAGTGTAGCGATTGTCCCACACGATCCCTGGGACAGAGTATTCAAGAAGTCTGTGGAGCAAACACTCCACACTCTGATTGGTTAGGGCACGGGGAGCAAGAATATTGGCCGGAACGTTCAAAAGGGAAAAGAGATGGAGGGTTGGGTGAGCGTCAGGTGGGACGGTTAAGCCAGGTGAGGGTAAGAGAGGTGACGGTTGGTGGAGATGGAGTGCGGCGAGGGGTGGAAGCCAGGAAGACGGCAAAGAGAGCGAGCAGGAAGCGGCGTTCGGGGCTTTGCGGGAGACAGCGAGAACAAAGGTGTGGGACCCGTGCCGTGAAAAAAAAGGACCTTACCTTGTGGACAAAGAAAAGGGCCAGAGTCTTCTCTCACCTGTATTACCTGGCAAACACTCGTGGTCACCAACCCACCCAGGTGTTATCCACGCTCAAGCATGTTTAGTTCGTGAGAATGTTTTCGGGTGATTCGGTCACAGGCAGGATCGGTGCAATGTACTTAGAACTGCAATCGATCTTTCCTTGAGGTACGAATCACGGAGAAACGGTCAGTAGGTGGCGAATTGGTGCGTGCTATTATACGTTGAGCCACGTGAAATATATAATAGTTGTGTTCCATGAATTTTAAGTAAAACTGACAAACAGATTATCTGTTTACGTAATTATTATCTGTTACGTAATTATTAATAACGTCTGGTTGAATTTCCTTTTTTATTTTGGCCACCAAGGCAAAAGCGTTTTAATAATTATTATTAAGAAAATACAGAATGTATTTCTATCTCTCTGCACAAGCGTTTGGAAATTGACATTGGCAAAAAGAGAATATAAAATGACAAAAAAAGAGCCAAATGATTATTGGCAGTCATGCAGACTCGACAAACTGCAACCGTAATGTGTTCTGTAAATGAAGAACCGTTGCAAGGGTGGACAAACAAAGAACGAGTGATGTACCAGATGTACCTCTTGTTCCGTTCATGTGTTGTGTGTGCACATGAAAATATAAAGATCCCGTCTTTCCCTCCGATGCTCTTTGCTTTGTGACTAACTATTGTTGACAATTCATATCTCCTTTTAATAATGTTTAAAAAAAAAAAACTTTTATTCTGCCGTCTGCGCTCATTAGATCTGGCTTCAACAAAAAAAAACGTGTTTCATAACCTCGCTCTGCAAGGACTTACGGTACAGCCGGTTCTTCATTTAGCCAAAAGCTTTGACAAATATCAGCCTAATTACGGTGAATGTCAGGCACCGGTGATGGTTTCTGCTTTAAAGAACATGCAGTGCTACCCGGCTGTCTCATTAATGCCTCGGCATTCCCCTGACATCAAACGTGCACCGGTAATAAACGCAGCCAAGCTGACAGCAATCACCTGCCCTTTGATTTTTGTGCAGAATATTAATGTCATACCTCACCGCAATGAATTTGATCATGATCACATTCGAAAGGCAAGGAGGAAGAATACCCATTTATCTCCATATGATATTTCTCCGCATGCCTGTTTGCTCAGATGGTCTATTTATATTGTGTTATTTTGATCGTTGCAAAAAATGTATATATGTGTACTTTGCGATGCAATTTATATTGGTATGCATTAATTGAATTGCATTGTATTGGCAAATATTTCAAATACCAAATATAAACAGGGCAATATATTCATTAAAATTTTGATTCAATAAATTGCTACCATATGCAACATATAAATGCACCTTATTTTTATGGACTGCTGCATGAGGTCATCCTCGTGCCATTCTGGGTCATGGGCGTTATTTACCTTTTGTCATGCTGGTCAGTTCAGGATGGTGAAGGTGGGAAGCATAGACGTTAAAACACAGTGCAGGACAAAAATCGATTTTGCTGCAATACCCTCTTGCTGACAACGTAGATAATATTTAGATTTCATTTATTTCGGCAAGGGGGGGGGGGGGTCCAAAGATTTGTTTGCCTCTATTTTATGCACATCCTGTGGCGGTGCAGATATTTCGATTTAAAGCTTTCGTGACTGCAGGGATTCATTTTCTTGGTTCTTTCGGTAAGTCACGTAGAAGGTAAGTAATAAAATAATAAAAATAAAATTAAAATAAAACATGATAAAATAAAATAATAAAATAATATACTAATATAATATAATTATTTTATCATGTTTTATTTTTATTATTTTATTACTTCCCTTCGACGTGACTTTACCGAAAGAACCAAGCAAAAAAAAAGGTGCAGATATTCTCACGCAGCCCCGTAGCAGACTGCAACACCAGTGTCTTGTATAGTGGTCACCCATTAGCACTTCTCGATTCGCCTAACAATGTAAAGATATAAAAGCCACCGTTTTGTGCAATGGCCCTTCTTTATATTACTTTTTCTTTAATGGTCAACATGATGTCATTAGCCTGCGTGTGTTCTCTACTCCACGTGTTCCTCTTTTTGCTGTCAGTGCAATGCACTGCACGTGCCTTTCCACGTTACTGCCCAGTAAGCATGCCGACGTTGAACCACCGTTCCATGTGCACTGGGTCTGTGCGCACCTTTGCACTTCAATATCTTCATTGGTGTCCACTTTTCATGACCCATGGCAATGCGCTCCAATTAAAAGCAAACTTAGCGCATGTTTCAATAATGGCATGTCATTATGAATTAGCACGATTTGGCTACGTACGGTGCAAAAGAAGTTCAACATACGTACATTCAAGCACAATCCAGGCCCAAGCCTGCTTGGCTTTCAGAACCTGGTGATTTGGCCATACACATTTTATATGATCACATGCGCATGGCCAAATTTAACCACATGGGACTTCACGTAAGAAAAGGACACGTTATTCATCTTGTTTCAATTGCAGGCATGGAATGCTTCAGTGTATACTTTTTTTGTTATATTTTATATTGCTGTAGGAAAATGGAATTCCACACCAGAAAATCCGCAATGCAAATGTTGTACCTTCTATAGCTCAAAGCTGAATGGGATTTGCAAAGGGTGCAAGCAAAACCTCTTCCCCCCGCTTGAAATTTTCAGGAGATGGCAATAAATGTCAAGGCCGGATTTCGTGGATTTTTTTAAAGCTTTTCTTTTTAATGTAAGCATCTTAAGTATGACAATAAACATTGGGTGTTTCAAACTTGAGCAAAAATGTATGAAACATATGAAAAAACATAACACTAGCCCATCCCAAAAGTATGGGGTAACACGAAATTACACTATAAAATTAATAGGATTATGCCATTAATGTAGATTATTATGCTCACAATACACGCATCGAACTGTGCTTGCAAGAATCGATTATACTCAGTGCATGTAATAGGTTCACATGATCCCCGCTGCAACTGGAGGCTGCTACATTCACCACAATTATGAAAAACATTGATTCTTGGATCACATCGCAATCCCCGAATGGTGACGATCGAATCGCAAAATCGGTTTATGCCTGCGTACTAATGCTTCTTGCACAGCAAAAACATTAAGCATCTAATAATACAAATGCAACACATTAGTCAATGACACTGTGGCCTTAAACGCTAAAGTATATAATAAGTGACATTCCGCGCAATTACCCTTCTTGATAGCACATGGAGAAGGATCACTGCCTGAAACGTTGCATAATGATATATATCTTTTTCCTTTTAAGGTAATTTTATTAATGATTGTGTTGATTATTTTAAATGTGTTTGTGCACCACTGCCAAAGCAGCAGCAGCAGCATCACCAAATAATGTGTTTAATAATACAGCCTGAGGCTTCATTTATATGACCTTTGACAACAAACTTTATATGTTTCAGGAGATTAGTGTTGCACATAATTGATGCATTAATTAAATTGCAGTTTAATTGTCATAAATTTACTTATTCCCCCCCCCCCTATCCGTGACAACATAATTTCTTACGGGGGCTATGAATATAGACCGTAAATGTTGCTGGCACACATTTAACTCAGAAACACCCACAGTGTGATGCAATCACATGTTAGCTGCTTTGGCAGTGGTGCACAAACACATTTCTCTGATAGTGCATTGTCTTTGTGCTTTACGCCTTTGGGCGTCCTCTGGTCTAACACCTTTTGAGACTAGGCTCTAAAGAAAGCTGTCTCTGGTGTGGACCAATCAGTTTCAAAGACAATGCATATATTATCAGAGTATTTTTTTTTGCATTCTGACCACAAGCATTGTGGTTAATGCATACATGATTCCTTGTAAAAAGGTTTCAGTTTGGTGTTTTAACATCTTAACACCTGTTTTGTTGCAAGAAAAAATGGCAAAACCTATTCTCATGTTAGTTTATGTTTTTTCTGCTCACTAATGTGGTCGAACGGAGCTTCCCCTTACTCGTGCATTTTTTGTGTCGCTGTGCTTCGATGAGGTGTGAGCACAAAGGGCCCGGGAATCGTCGAGCGAGACCACGGCAGGGAGAGCGTTGCTGTTGAGTGGCTCGCTGCGGCCGTATTTCTTCAAGAAAACTTTCAACAACCAAACAAAATCCCACTCACCAGAAAACCGCTGTCTCCTGAGCCTAGAGTGCTCGCGCTGCCAATCATACTTTTGTCACCTTGGTCAATCGCTGACCTCGCTCGCCGTCGTACGAGCGGAAGCGTGCAAGTGCCGACCTATTGAAGCGCTGGGTTTTCTTGTTGTTGTTGTTGTAAAGGAATCTGGAATGCAAACGATTTTTATTTCCAATAATTGGCCCATTCGTGATGCTCTGCTCGAGCACCATTATCCTGCCTTTTCTTCGGAGCTCGCAAGGTCATAATAAACGTCATGATTGCATTTCGGTCGAATCAAATTCCTGAAGGAAATATTTATTGGAAACGTGCAAATAAAAATGCGCGTGCACCTTTCGGCACATGCACAGTTTATACGTGCAGTCAAAGCACAGCGTATTCATTACCATAAGCGGCTATTGCAGGTATTTATCCCGTACGCAACCTGTTTGCAGCACAGTTTCATCAGGGCCTTTCAGCCGCGAAGCTCCGCTGTTAGAAACACGACAAAAGAGCTGTCTTTTTTAGAGTTTGGTACCGTAAAAAGACCGCATTCGAAAATTACCACTCTCCGCGATATTAATGACATCCATTATTTTGTATCTGCTGTCAGAAGCGTACGGTGCTGTAATTGCCCATCAGGGACCCGACTTGACCAGATGCAAGTGTGTTGGGGATAATCAATGGTGGAAAGGGGTTAGGGGTGCAGGGGAGTCAGGGGCAGCAGCATAGCAGGAAATGGATTAAAGCCCTGCCTAACACTTTACTGTCATCTGCGTGGTGGGGGAGATGGACCCGAATTGGACTTAATGATTCCTCTGGAGACGGCGATCTGGGTGTAATGAGCGGGTAGCCGTGGCCCCGGCGATGCCTCCAGGCCTTTAATAAATGACTTAAATTGACAGGCTGTATGCAGGACAACGGGAGGCCTAACGGTATATCTCGTATGCTGAGCACAAAGGCCGTTTAATTGTACCGCTGTAGGGCGACTGCACACGTTTCTCCCGGCATTCCATCTCCTCCGTGTACAATTAGTTTCCCTCCACTCCTGGCACACTTGAAATCCCCGCCCCCCCCCCCGCCCCCCGTTGCACAACGTACAATTCAGCCGCACAGGCCAAACAAAAGGGGTTCTAACAGTCATATCACGACGGCATTTGCATTGGATGTTACAATTTTTGCATGTTACAATTTTAACAACTGTTTTAACATCCGCCGTTAATATTTTACTGCCAAAGAATATTCGCTACTCTTGTGAAGTAAAACCTCTCAGGGTAAAACCGAACGAAGAGGGGGTGGGGGAATAAAAAAAAGTTTTCAAAGATTGACATTGATTGTGTTTGACAAAGCCATTTGTCGGGAACTGTGTTGACCCTGTATTCCCCCCCCCCCCCCATTCTTTTTTTTTTCCCTCCTTCAATCGATTCTTTCGGAGACAGACAGTGTTAGCATAAGAGAGCATAACAGATGTCTTATTCCCATAGCTGATTAGTCATTCCACTCTGGCAGAGGGCTCGTTAAAATTGAGTCGCGCTCCAGTGCACAGAATCATGAAAGTTTAGCCCAATAATCCCAATCGACCAAATTACTTTTTTGGCTCGACCGCTCGCAATTTCCATCAGCGTGGTCGGAATATTGACGGCAAAAAAAATAATTCCGTCAGCCACCTGCCGGAATTAGCTTAATGATGTTAAATATACATACAATATATATATAATGAACCACCGGTATTGGCAATGGGGTTGAAATATGCAAACATAGGTGTTTTATTATCATATCTCGTGAATTGTATCTTACAGATATTACATATTCAATATCTTGTTTGTATATTTAGAAGTGCACACACATTTTGCTATTTATATTTGATTTCATTTCAATAAATTACAATGCGGATGCTCATGTGCATCCATGCGATATCTATCACGGAGCAAAATTAACATTTCAACCTTCCACTGGTCACGTGGAGTAAGCGGACCAACCACATGTTATGCATCGGTAAGAGTTGGTACAATGATATTGACACCTTGGATATCCAGTCCTTCCCGATATCCTGAATGTTGCTTGATATGCAGCCAAGACAGCTGCCCATACCATCTGCACTCTGCTCTCAGATTATAATCAAACTCTGCCGCTTCTGACACAGGGGGGTATTTTCGCTTCATCAGTGACCGCAATGGATTACCGTTGAGCAGAGCACACCCTGTGTAATATTTGATGGTTTCAAACCCCCGCTTTCTATCAGATCTAATTGTTCCCGTAATGCAGCCAACTTACCGCGGTACCCGTGGTTTGTTTTGGCATGCCGGGGCGGGTTTTCTCTGAAAAAATTACCCACCTACTTAATATTTTGCTACCCACCATAAGAGTCAGGAATATATGTATGCCCTTGTAGGATTCAAAGGGCATTTTATTTGTGCTAAGCACAGGTTTTTGTTTTCCTTGCAGCATTTTACACTAGAAGGTAGAAATGTTCATGGTTACCGCCAAAATAAATATTTATTGATGGGATTATTGCGCGTTTTTCCTTATTGGCGTGAGCATAACTCCTCGCTGTAAGTTGAGAAGTGAGGATTTGGTTCGTCGGAGGAAAGCGCTCTACACTTCAGTGAAGACCGCTCCTATAACTGACCAAAGTGCACCCTAAATCAGCAATTGATCTTTATTTAGCCACGTAGATGACACCGTCCGGGTGAGGATAAACTGCCCTGTTTGGCAAAGTTGCGCTTGACTGGCAAGCGGCTGATGGATAAACGTGCGGCCTGACGCTCTGAGCAAATTCATCATTTCACGGCGGCGCTTCCCATCGCTGCAGCTCTGTTGCCCTCACTAAGCACGAGCCAAGGGTGTCCTATCCGGCATGCCACCAGCTGATCATATCAGCTGAGGTGTAACTCATGGGCGACCGCCAATCGTATTCAGGCTCTAGCAACTTTAAAAAAGCAGGGCTGTTAGATTTTTACGATGAGGTCATATGGTGTGGGTTTTTTTTTGTTCACTTAGTATGGTAATCATTTAATGCCATAATAATTACCATATTCGTTGTTATTGAGGCTAAAAGAAACCACCAGATTTTTCCATATGATTATTGATGATATAATTATACAACAGTTAATGATATGTGGTGACCTTTTTTCTGGTCTCATGTTTGCCAGGCCATTAATCACAAGTGCAAGATGTTGGCTCTCGTGTGCGCTGGTGCTCAATGGACCGTGGAATGCTCCTATAATCGGAGCAGGACCCAGTGGCACAAACCACAGCACTTGTGAGTTGCGTTAAACATAAATTTTAAACGTGTCCTGAAAAGTTAAGCGACTTTTGTTTTGACAATTACAGCTTTTCCTTTTTCCATCAACCCGCCTCCCATGTCCCATAATCCTATAAGCCGATATTTGTATTAATATAACATGTAAGCGTGTATAATTGTGGAGTATTTATTCCATCTGGTCAATACCAAACTGCAAGTGGCTTAATGGGAAACTGTTGTTATTATTACATCAAGGACATTAGACATTATTTAATAATGCGCTTTAGCATATGCCAATAGCACTGGCATTAGCGATTCGCAATGCTGCAAAATAAAAGGAAAGCCTTGCCATTTACCAGCTATTCAGAGCGTAATGGGTATTGACCATAAACCTGGAAGGGGAAGAGAGGGAGATAGAAAAAAAAAGAAGATGCATTTGCCATTCCAGCAATCTTTGAGTAGACAATGGAATAATGTGCAGCACTGGTCCCTGCAGATACCATTAGTGTGCCTTGCAAGAGCCCTTGTTAAAGCCCAGCCACTGATGACTTGAACCCACTTCCTGCCACTATCAGCTGTTTTCCTTCCCCAGATAGTGTGCTGCATCTCGCACTGGGATTTTGCCAGGAGTATTACGACTGTGTTAGCTGGTTGCTGCTGTGGGAGGGTTTGTCAACATTGGCGTCAAAATGCAATGTATTTGTTTATTTTTCATTTTGCTGCTTGAGCAAATAGGAAAAAAAAATCTATTCCTGCCATTTATTTATTTTAAAATCCTCGTCAGTTAAAAAACAACAAATGTAAAGGTGTTAATGTGCAGCACGAGCACAACGTGCAGATTTATTGCCAGAGATATAGGTAGTGAGACTTAGGCTAAAGTGGCACTCAAATTGCTTGTGCGTGAGCATGAATTTTAAATGAAGATATAGGACATTTACAATTATGAACTATCCAAGTGTAAAATTGTGTGCCAGTTTGTGTGCTGTGTGCGTGTCCAATCGCCTCCACGCGTATGCCGTCCGTCGGCATTTGAAGGCACCGCCGTAAATATTGTAGTAGTAATAAAATAACAGTTCACAACCCATCGTCAATCCACTGCTGGATGAAGGTTTCCCCGGGCCGTATTGATCACGAGGGTCGTTTGACTATACTTCACCACGTTGGTAAGTAAAGGGCTGGGAGGATGGGGGGTGGGGGAGTTGCCCAGGGCCAGTTCACATATCACTTGCTACAGATGTTGTTAGCTGTGGCCGAGAATTAGGAATTCAACTTTACTTGATAAAAATGTGCCAGATTAGGTCACTATGCGATCTTCTAAAGCAGTCTGCTAGTTATACCGTATAGCGTACATGAGCAGTGGCGCAGTTGTTAATCCACTATGCTCAGGTGAACTGGGTTTGATTCCCACTCACAGCTACCATCAGCAGAGTAGCCATATCTTAACTGGGGCCTGTCTTTGCCAAATAACCTCGTGAAGTATGGTCAAACAACTTCTACAACTGACAGGGCATGGAGAGGCCTTTGTGGAACAGAGAATTGATCATTATACACACCATTGCCATTCGATCGTTTTGTATTTTTCTTTGGTAAGAAAACAACGTTTTTTAAAAAAGAAAAAAAAGACGTCAATTACTTACTTACACAAGCAACTGCAATAATAATAAACCATCTGATGATAGATATATAATGTACCCTACCTGGTCAACACTGGCTGTTTCAAGCCATACCAATGCAAAGTAAATTAGGCTCGTCCAAACATACACTGCGCTTAAGAAGAGAATGGAACAATGCCCTCGGATCAGCTATAGGCTTACATGTGGCACATTCATTTATTATTCAGCGTGTTGCAGTTGTGGATGCAGATGATGGATCTTCAATTTTGTTTGTACAGAAACTTGCCTACAAAATATCCCCCATAGGAATTAAAACAGAACAATTTGGCGAATGTCTGGTGGCTTCCACTTAGATAAATGAGGTCCAATTGCTACTAATTAATTGCCATGAAAATAAATTCAACAGAGGAGTACTTTCTCAGCCTCTCTCAGTTACAATGCTCTGCCCTTTGTCAATCCACAGCTAGGCAAAGGCCTCTCCATGCCGTATCAGTCGTAGAAGAGAGGCACCGGTTTACAACTGATGGTAGCTGTAAGTGGGAATCAAATTCAGTTCACCTGGTTCCGAGCAAAGTGTGTTCACAACTGCACCACCACTCTTCTTTATTTATTGCAAAAAAAACGGCTTGCGAAAGTGTATCCATATATGCAGATGTAGTCATAAGTACGGCATAACTATTCTCAGAAAGTGTTGTATAAAGGCAAAAATGGGTTTTAAATAGCAAAATCCGCTTTGTTTTCTGAATTATTGAGATGCTTTTATTTGTTGTTCCCTGATGCTGTGTTTCTCTGATTGTGTCTGTGAGTCATTCCATTCACGCGTTTCCCCGTGCCCCTGGATGCCTTTTGAACGTTCTTGCAAACACCCAAATCCCAAACCTCTCCATAACCATTGCGACGCTGCGCTTTGTGACACAGTTCAGCCTTATTCAATCGCCATTCCCCATTTCAGCGTTTAGCCCAGACACTCAAAACACAAACTTTCAGCGACGTCCCCGGTGAATTTTATTATTATTACATCTTGCTGCTTGCACACGTATCTTATGTTTTGATGAGCAACATATCAACATTTTCCCCACTGTGCTCAAATTAATGCTGGGTGTGTTAGGCCAGTGGTATACATTGTTTTTTTTTACAATGGAATGGACACGTACAACCAGAACTTAATTTAGGCCCTATTATATATATTAATTTCCCTTACAGGGCAGTATAGTTCATGAACGTATTGAGTTTTCTTCGTAGAATATTATTGAGCCCCCACCCCCTAACAATAACAATATCCAAACCCCCACAATAGAGGGTATTTTTGGGGTTAAATCTAACCCCCAAAATCTTTATTATGAATAATATTGGTCGTCGAAAGCCTAAGTGTTCAACTGACTCAACGCCCGAACCCCCAGTTCCTCCCACAGCCAACAGCCGACAGGGGAATATACTTTCCGTACCGCAGTCCTGGACAGCTGCGGTTGAATGAATGAAGCCCTGGCAACAACAACAACCATCACCACCAACAACAACAAAACAAGTTGCAGATTTTCACGTGCCAACCCCATACGGACCGTGTGGGTTCGGTCTCACTGATCAGTAGGTGGCGCTAGAAAGTCACTTGACTTAATTCTAGATTTGAAGCTTTCGTGACTGCAAGGATTCATATTCTTAGGTTTTTTCGGTAAAGTCACGTAGGTAAAAATTTGTAATTAATAAAAGTATTTTACTTTAAAATTAATAAAAGTATTTACTTTTATTAATTTATTTTTTTACCTACGTGACTTTACCGAAAAAACCTAAGAATATGAGTCACTAGACTTGCCCATTGTTGCTCTGCAGCGGCAACAATTAAGTGCGCGCTGTTCACAAACCGCCAAAAGCGTCTGGAGCCGCCAACTCGAGACGAGGAGGCTACGTTAGCGAGCGAGCTGTAATTTTCCACCACTCTGTCGCCATCGGCACCGCCGGGGATCGCAACCTCTCGAGATGAGATGACCGCGTGGCATGCTTACTCGCACGCCCTCCGTGGCACGCCATCACGGGGTATTGGGACCTTAATGAAACGAGTTGGGTAAAAAGTATTCCTGCTCATCATCATCATCAGCAGCCATGGTCAATCCTTTTCTGGATGAAGGCCTCCCCGAGCCGCGACCTTCCTCTCACGAACATGCGATTGTAATAACAGTCCATCTGCACATGGAATTGATTGCATCGCTCCTTCGCCATGGTTGTACGTACGTTTTTGGACGCATTCCATTATTTGATTGCCACTCCGGCGTATTTTTGACCATCGGTCATGGATTATGTAACGCTTTTCAACATGCTTCTGTCCTCGAAAGTATTTCATTAACATAATGGCACGGGGAGTCGGTGGGTTAGGGTCAAAGCAAAATGTGTGTTACATATTTTCAAATACTGTACATGTAGTCCGTTTTGCTCTGGTTTATGTCTCGGAGATATAGGCGCATCGATGATGAATTTGGCCAGTTTTCGATCTGGACAGCCCACACTAGCAACACGACTTTACAGCTGAAGTTTTGTTTATAGTCGATCATCTTCAAGAGATGTATAGTGACCCCTCCCTCCCTTTTGTCACGTACGAATGGGCAGTCATAAATAATAATGCTTAAGACGTTATCCAAAGTAGTTGAAAAGCATAAATACAAATACTTCAGCACAAACTCTATATATTTTTTAAAAATATAAATTAAATAAGTCGCAGGCAGCGTACAGCCCCTCTGAATGTGTTGAACATGCCCTCTGCAAGCGCGGTGTAATGTCACAACACAAAACATTTAAGCGAAAGCTCTCAGTGAATTATTGCTCAGGCGAGTGCTCACGAATTGGATGGTGTACGGTATTTAGAAGCGAGCGAAGCACAACGCGGGAGGCGAACAACAATGCGAAACCAAACTTGCTAACGCATATCCCACGGATGCTGCCGTAGTGTGACGAACAGCAAGCACACTGACTGAACAGGTTTCATAAATGCCCCCGCCTCTGTCCACTCGGCGACATTAAAGGGTTCCCCCCCAGTTGTAAGCAAGTATGAATGGGTAATTTTAAAACATATACCCGCTAGAGGGGGTCTCTGGTGCTCCCCCTTTCGGAGGCTCAACTTACCAGCAGTCATATTCTATGGGTCTTTCGGTAAAGCCACGTAGATAGAAAAATAATACAAATATCACGACGTTTCGATCGCAACACAAGCAAGTGAAAAAATACAGCTTTTTTTTATATCTACGTGGCTTTACCGAAAGACCCATAGAATATGTATTCCTGCAGTCACGAAAGCTTTAAGTCAAGATTTACCAGCAGTCGTGTGAGCAATAGATTGCAGGGCTGTACCTTTTTCCTATACGGTATACCCAACATCGAAAATATACACGATTTTTTTTTCTCGAGGATTAAAGATAAAAGAGACCTTGGTGAAATTCCAAGCATGATACAGGGGCGAAATAGGTACACTGGCTTGGCTCAAACTCCAAAAACGCCAAGTGAATTCCCGTGTTTTGGTTGTGTTGACAAGATGCATTTCCTTTCACCATGTTACCCAGAATGCCCCCATTCTCGACATATCTCGGTCGCTAAGCAGGCTTGACCCTGGATAGTACTTGGATGGGCGACCACCACACACAGCAAGTTCTTACAGGTTGGGGGTGATTAGTGGCCTTGTGGTGGGCAGCAATGAGTAGCGCAGAAAATTACATTGTTGAATGTACTATATGTTGAAGTTCTTTCGCAGCCGACCGTGCTACTCCCGCGACTATATTCCCTGCCTTCACCAACGACATAGCTTTGGGTGGCCCTCATTCATCAGTGGCTGGATTAACGTGCTGAAGTTTTACATTATGAAACACCATCCCCTGCTATAGTTGTATAACATTTTAGATGAAAGTGCTGCGTTGGATGTTGGGTACATATCTCAGGGAACGGAGGAGGAATGAAGAAGTTATAGCCTTAGCGGGGATTACTACAATTTTCGAGAGGTGACATTTGGAGGCGAGACTCAAATGGTTTGGCCACGTGTTGAGAAGGGACAAAGAAGATGCTACGGGAAGCGCTGTGGAGCTGCCACCGGTGCAGGGCAGAAGGGCGAGAGGGCGCCCGACGGGGAAGATGGGATGTTGCGATGGAGCTGAGATGTGAGGATAGTGGATGTGACGAGAGAAGAGGCACAGAATAAAAAAAGATAAGCTCATGGAGAGAGACAATCCTAGCTGTCGACCGCATGCAATAACGGGACTCTTGGCTCAAATATGTACGTCTCTGGGTCGCTCTGTAAATCGAGATGTATCGGTGTAAGTCTGTGTTTCACTTTTCACTGCCCGAGTCTGGGGATCTGTAAAGAATAGCGGATGTGACTGGAGAGGAGGCACAGCGTATACGTTCGTGGAGACTGATTATATATTATAATCCGAGCAGCCCAACCGCATGCAATAAACGGGGTCTTGTGTGACTTGTGGGCTAAACTTTTATGGCGTGTGAGCGCGCGCGTGTGTGGGAAGAAGACAACGACGTCTCACCCCGCAAGGAGCAGGGCCACGCGTTCAATAATGGTCGCTCTCTCGTGGTGTCAACGTTGGTGCCAGCCACCTCGCCACGCACTGAAAGCCCTCTGCTGCGTTGAAGCATCGGCAAGCCAGGACGCGATACCAACCACCACACGCTGAATCCCTCCCGCATTGAGTGTCAACTTTACAAGTTGCGTTTGAATCTCACATTGTATATTTAACGACAATGCATAATTTAGTTCGCCGGGAAAAAAAAAATAACATTTGTAATTTTAATGCGTCCTTGCATTTACATGCGCAACGCTTTGTGTCGTTAATGCATATATTGTGTTTAAACAAAGGCGATACCACCCAAATTCTAGGAGGGATGATGCCGTTGGTTGTTAATGATTGCCACGCTGTGCTTGCAATATCAGAGGTCGCCCCCTTCGATCTCCCGGCACGAACAATGGTGACAAGTGTCTTGAACCCCCCCACCCCTTCCCCCTGGCTCTGCCCACGCAGCAGTAGCATAACAATCGCGGTGAGTCAACCGGCAGGTCGTGAGTGGTGGGCTAAAGTGTGGGTATTTCCCACAACTCTCGTCTTAGGGGCCGTCCATAAATGTCGTCACGCGATTTTGGACGATTTTTGACCCCCCCCCCCGGCCTTCGTCACACGGCGTCACAAAAAAGACCCCCCTCAAATATGACGTCACAAAGCTCTGCCCCCCCAAAAAAAAAAAATATATAAAACATGCTTCAAATCGCTTTAAACGATTGTCATTGTAGTACGTATTTAATATGGCGCTGCACTCTGATGTTGTAGGAGAAAACATTTATTAAAAAGTCTCTTTAATTAAGTAGAACGTGTTTTGTCTATATTTATTTAAATTTGGGCATTTCGATGTGATGTCACATTTCTCACCCCCACCCTCGTCACACATCGTCACAAATGTCTGACCCCCTCCCCCCTAGGTGCGTGACGTCATTTATGGACGGCCCTTTAGACGTGTTGGACAACGTGGAAGAGTGGACCAACCAACTTCTAGATGGGGAGGGCCTCTCTAGAGCTCTCGCTCGTGTAGGCCCTTCCGCCAACAGTGGCACGAGTCAGCAGTTGCAGGGCTGCGCCTTTTACCCTGGGCCATGGCACACAAAGAGAACGAGGCGGTGTTCGCGCCACGTGGTTCTCACTCGATGGGGGGGGGGAGGCGGTTTCCGTGACTTGCGAAATGACCACGAATTCCTCTCACTGGCAGGGCACCCTCGGTCTGTTCTCAATGCAAGATATCACGATGCGAAAGCGCTTCAATCCCTAAGTGCCAAATACAGTGCTTGTCCCGGCTAAATAAAGTGTGTACCAATCACTCGTGCTAAATCTAACACCGCCGTGGATTTACGACAACAAGACACTCACTCACGCTTATGTAAATAATGTTTGCGCTCACGCACGCACGCACACAAACACCACTCGGTTGCATTTCTCCGCAAGAGCAGCAGCAGCAGCACCTGCAAAAACCCCCCCAAAACTCTCCCGTTCCGGAAAGACAATCAAACCTAATTAGCGCAAGATCGCAGGAATTATTCCTAATTAGCCACAATTACATTGGTTCGCTAACGCGAGGATGTGGGGGGTAGGGGAAGAGAAGGCTGGTGGTGGGGGGTGGAGGGTGGTGGTGGTGGTGGTGGAGGGGGGCGGGTGTCTGGGTGGGGTTGGGGGGGTGGGTGGTGCCGAGCCCACGTTACTTTGATTGACGTGGCCGAGATACGCCTTAATGGCAATCAGGCGGGGCTTAATGACGTGCTTAGCGTGTGCGCGTCTAATGATTGGAGCGCGCCCACGTGGCCTCTCCCATTGGCCGGGGCCTTGCGGTGCCGTCACGGCCCCACGTGGCGGCCAGGGCAGTGGGGGGGGGGTCCACGCGAGCGCTCCTTTAATTGGCTCGCGTAGTGGGGGGGGGGCAGTGCGGCGCTCCTTTAATTGGCTTGCATACAAAGGAGGAAGAGAGGCGCGACCCCCCCCCCACCACCGCCCCCCAATCTCAGGAACCAGCAGAAAACCAGCCAAGGCCCTCTCGCCACCCTCCCCGCCGCTGTTCGAATGCAAAAAAGAAATGAGCGTTGAC